GGCAAGGATTCTGGGGCTTCGTCTGACATACTTTAGGCATGTTGCAAGGAGGGACAGGTCCTTGGAGAGGGACATCATGCTTGGGAGGGTGGAGGGATGGCGCAAGAGGGGAAGACCGTCTATGAGATGGATTGATTCAGTGACTGGGGTAATTGAGATGGGTGTGTAGGAGGCAGTGCGATTGGCACAGGATACAGCAGGGTTTAGGGCTGTTGTACATAGGGTCGCTATGAGTCGCAAATGTCTCGATGGCACATAACAACAACAACAACAACCAACTGAAATGTGTCAACAAACAGATACAGCTACAGATATCTGGAAGACAGCTGTGTGGTCAACTGACTGGGAGTTGGTCCTATTCCCATTCCAAAAGAAGATCACCAAAAAAGAGTATGAAAATTATGCAAGTAAAATCTTGAAGATTATACAAATTCAGTTGAAACAGTACATCAAAAGGAACTGCCAGAAATTCAGGTTGGAAGAGGCCTAGCACTGCTGATGTCAGATGGTCTTGACTGAAAGCAGAGACTACAATAAAGATGTTTCCTTGTGTTTAATTGATTATGCAAAGGAATCTAACTGCATGGACCATAACAAAATATGGCTAACATTGACAGGAATTAGCATTCCAGAGCACTTAATTGTGATAATGCGAAACATACGCACAGACCAAGCGGCAGTTGTTTGACCAGAACAAAGGAACACAATGTTGCTTAAAATGAGGAAAAGTGTGTGTCAGGGTTGTATCCTCTCCATATCTATTCATTACATTGGTCAAGTATAGCCAGTAATTCTTAAGAAATACTCTTTTTAAGTGTGTGTCCTCAATGACCATTTACACCAATCTAATACAACAATCATTCTCTAACTGGTGACTTTTCTCTTTCCAAAGCCCAAAAGTCAAGGAGGTTCGAGGCATCACAGACCCAAGGAAAAGACAACCAGTCCAGTGTGTCTCATAAAGAACACCTCAGGTGGACTGCTCAAATTAAGGGGTAACAATTCCATTTTCCTTCTATTCCTTTTTCATAAAGTCTCTCAACTAATATGAAGAGACAAATCTACAGCCATCCTTTAATTATTCTTGCCCACAGATGTAGAGAGGATTCCAACTCATAAGTACCCCTATTCTTTCGTAAATTCCACTACTGAATCACCCTGAAGAACAACAAGCTTCTTTGATCTGTGACCCTTGTAGAATGGGATCTTTATGAATTGTAAATTAACTCTAACTGCTGTAAGAGTGGCCAAACTTAAAATAGTGACATGAGCATTCTTTTGACTCATGGTAAGAATCTGTGCAGCAATCCCAAAGGCACGGGGTTCGAATCAGCCAGCTGCTAAGTGGGAGAAGGATGGGCAATCTCCTCCCATATGACTGTTGTTCTTGTTAAGTGCCGTCGAGTTGCAGGCGGCTCATAGCAACCCTATAAAGGAGAGTCCTCAACCCTTGCCCATATGATTACTGCCTATGAAACCCGCTGGAGGGTCAGCTATGGGTTAGCTCCAACTAAATGGGACACAAGAAAAGCTAACAAGAACAGTCAGTTGGAATCTGATCAATCTATGCAGGCACAGGGCTCCTAGTCCTTCAATTTAATCTCTGGAAAATACAAATACTATTTTCATTATTATACAGGGAAGTCCAGTGAATACCACTATCATTCAAATATATGCACCAACAACCAGAGCCAAGGAAGAGGAGATAGAAGATTTTTACCAACTTTT